CAGAAAGCAGAAGATACTGTCATGCTTTTCCTCAGTGCAATGGATGTGCCCACTCGTTTACCCAAGCTAGTCTTTCCACTTGCTTTCTTATATTAGCGGCATCAACCCCACCACCCAACCACTTGCTTCCGATATGATCTCTTTCACCTGCCCACCAAGTAGCACACAGATTTAAGGTAGCCGGGATTCTCGAAACAGAACAAAGCAGAAGCATAGAGGGCGGAGCTACCCATAGCACTGATTAATATTAGATCTCATGGGGAACATACACCAGGCCGGCGTCAAGAAAGATGACCATGGCGGCGGTGACAACCAGCAGCTACAGGTGGTCTCCGTTCTCGAGCTCCAGGCCGGCGTTGTGGAAGACCAGCCGCAGCCGCCTCTTGGCGGATGGCATGCCGTCGAGGCAACCTCCATGGTACGTGCGTCGTAGCCCAGTGCGTATACCTGTGCTCCGGCCACGGCAAGCCAGCTTTTTTTGCGTGTGAAGTTTATCGCTGTTGCACCTATTTCTATTCCTAGTCAAACTTCTTTTGGATGAAACAACACTTTCATTATCTGCATTGAAGATGACAATACAAGAAATTTGTTGATTTGTAACGCTGAGATTATGTCCGTTTTGTGATGAAATTCAGGTTGTCAAAAGTTGAGTATCATTTAGACTATATTATGCTTCTGAAAATTTTGAGGTGGCTAGGGTCGATTTTCGAAGAACTTTGGGTTTAGGATCTTTCATCGAATTTCACACAAGAATACCTTTGCCAGTTCCCCTCTTAATTGTATGATTTTCCTACACTCAACATGAGTTTTGGATTCACCAAAAACCTGCTAAAAGTTCGAGGTAGGCAACTTGAAAAGTTGTAGGTAGGGGCCGGCCACCACTCATATTCCACTTCAAGTCGATATGACTGAAACCCTTTTTTTAGGGGAGTAGGACTAAAGCCTGAAAGATAAAACATTTAGTCCACTCAATGGTTGTGTCATAAATCACCAAACCCAACTAGGTGTATTTAAGAGATGCACTTTCGTAACCATTTTCCAAAATCTAGCTTCTCTCCCAACAAATTTATCCTCAAATCACCTTGAAAATTGAAATAGTATCGTGTCGGGGCAGTGGGATACGTACTGTGAGCACATCCTGACAGTTGAAAAAAAAATATAGGCCTCAGTTATGTATGGTTGCATGCACCATTCTGTTGCAGAGGCCGGAGGTAATCCTCCTTTTCTAGAAAAATATGTCTCAGATTGCGTGCACAAGAAGCGGGTAATTCTAAAAGAAACATCTCGGATGGAGTGCTTCTCCCATGTGATTGTTTCATACCAACTATTGGGGAAGTTTCTAAAGTGTATGTTGGGGCGCAACCACTAGGATATATCATACATCTTGCCGGAATCTCTCATCCAAGACAACATAATTTCCAACAGCTCAAAGTGTCTCGGATGCAGTGTCTCGTAAGGGGTGACATGTGCCAGTGATATGAATTAATTTGGAGATTTCTATACAATATGGAATCTCCATTTCTTTTTTTCTTTAATCTGATCCGCTATAACTCGGTCTCACTGGATGGCTGGCTATTTTTTTTCTCTCTGATCAGCATGGAAATTATTAGGGAGTATGTAATTAGTATAGTATTTTTTCCAATAAATTTTATGATTGATCTGTGTCTAATTTGTGCATGCTTGCAGTTGGAAAATTGCAAGACAAACAGTACTGCTACAGATGGAGGCACCAGCAGCAGGATAGATATCCTCGGGCCTGCAACAGAACAGAATATCCCTAAACCAAGTGATCCTCTTCATCCATGCCCGCCACCACAGTCGCTGCCGGAGGGTGTGCAGTCCGTGCTCAACACATCACGGGTCAGATACGATAATCCATCATTCACAGACCTGATTAAGTTTAGTTTGTTACCGCCAACATGTAGTAAAGTGATCTTAATTTGTTACATGCACGGATAAACACGCGCATAGGTTAATCGAAAGTGCATTGGAGACGGTGATGGCTTCACTGCTTATGAGGAGAAGTATATGCAAATTAACTCAACCTAGCCAGATTTAGTTTCCTGTCCCTGCCTCACTTATATGACCTAGATTTAATTTCCTCTCCCTGTCTCGCTGGAAAACTAGGTACTTCAATATGTGCATGCAAAATATTTGTTGATAAGAGTAAACAATATTTTTTTAGTGAATTGGTTGTCACTAAAACTAATCAAATCACAGTGCTTAATCGTGTTGCATATGTGAATATACTATGTATCTAGCGAATTTGTGAAAACATCTAAATCTGACTGAACTGAGCAAAAGTTGGATTTAAATTCAAATTCAATTGTGTTAACCAAAACACGGGCTGTCATGATATATTTTTGTCTCGTCTTATAACCTGTAATGGCATGGCAACATGTCTCATTCATTATTTCTGTGAGCAGGATTGCAGGTGATACAAACATCCGAGATCCACCGAAATACAAAATTAGAATGAAGTATGTATACTGTTAATTCTTTACATGGATGGTATTGTTTTTAAAGTTCAATGTACCTGACTAGCTAGCCTTGTAAATGACAACATCTAGCATATTGTATAGAGCTAGTCCTATTTCCATTGTCCACATGGTCATTTTGAGTACTCATTGGAGCCCAAATGGACATTGTATGCAAAATTTGTAGCCATTCACCTAAACTGTGGGTTGGCTTTCTTTCTGCCGCTCCCAACAAACACATCATAGGCAGGCAACACTTGCAACTTGTCACTATTGACATGTCATCACTGACACACTGATTCATATTGGAAGCATCCCAATCTATGATAGTGTCTCATCCTTGAGGGGATTTGTTAAGTAAAGTAGTGATCTAAACGGTCTTATATTTCTTTACAGAGGGAGTACATGTTTGTACTAGTGACGATTGTGTCTATTGAATTGGTAGTGTGTTTGGTAGATTGTCAAATTTCATATGTAGACATGTACTTGGGAGTTTCAATTTTAGTAGATAAAATATATATTTTAATTATGTAAATGCATTCTTCTTTTCAAATGCCAAAACATATATTTAATAAAAAATAAATTCATAGTACTATTTCTACAATTATATGGCAGTTTTAGTGTCACTAGTAGAAAACGGGCCTTTAGTCCCGATTTCAGAGGGTCTTTAGTCCCGGTTCTGCAACCGGGACAAAACGATCGGGACTAATGCCCATTACTTTTAGTCCCGGTTGGTTTACAAACCGGGGCTAAAGGAGCTCCACGTGGCGGCTGTTTGGAGCGGGGCTGGAGGACCTTTAGTCCCGGTTGGTATTACCAACCCGGACTAAAGGAATTTTTTTGAAAAAAATTGATTTTTTTCGTTTTTTTTTTAATTTTCAAATTTCTGAATTATTTATAATCTCTAATCACCCTTTATCATTGCTCAATTGTGGAGCACTCATTCCAAATCGTCTAACTTCCCGGCCCATCACCCATCCTCTCACTACTCCAACCTAAGCACACTTAACTTCCGAGTTCTATTCCCCCTAGTTTCCAAGTCTGCACTTGTTGGTTTCCTAACAATAATAACCTGTCAATCCTTTTAACCCTTAGGTCTTGATGTCACATGATTTAATTTTTTGAATTCCAAACATATTAAAATAAAATAAGTAATAATAATATTGAACTTCAATGAAAATAAAATAAGTAATAATATTATTTTATTCATTTTTTGCCATTTATTCATTTAATATGCCACAATTAATATCTTTAAATCCGTAAATCGAATTTCGACAAATAATATATCCATTATTATCAGAAAAATATGAGGAATCCAAATATGTCATCCTTAATTTTTTAAATTATTTCTCATATGTTGGAATCAGTTGCTTCTTAGTGATGTGAACCAAATGAGAACTAATGAGCTTCCTATGTTTGGCTAAGCACGAGTGCCTGATCTAGATTCATTGATAAAATGGTTATAATTTGTTGATCTGGTACTAAATAAGGTATAAAATGGTGAATCCCTGAATCACTATATACAATGTATGTCCAGTTGCAGCAACTGCTGTTACTTGATTTTAGAAGTTGAACTTGAGCATGAAGTCACACATTTCACCATTTGAGTTTGAAACTATTATTCTAAAAAACAATAATTATTTAGTAACACTAATATTTATTGAATAAGTAGTTTGACCAACGTTTCACCAAAAATCCAAAAAAACATAATTTAGGCATAACTTTTTTTCTTTTCAGAATTTGAGGATTCTAAAATTTTGCAAAATGGCCTATGACCGTCGAAATCGGAACCGGCTTCTCATGCTGAACATTTTGATATATTATACGTTTTTTCGACATCGTATGCAAAAGTTATAGCCACTTTACTTTTTCATGACACTTTTTTTTGCAAAACATATCCAAATTTATGTTTTTTAGTTTTCCTAACTAGTAGATGTAGTAACATAACTACATCACGAAGGATTTTAATTTTTGATTTTTTTTCTTATTTCCTTTTGTTTTTTTAAC